AACTTTGCCATAATTGAGGCATCTTGCTCGTTTTCGGGAACGTTACTCCACGGTTTGCTTAGAGTAACTGGGACAATTCATATCTGTAATTGTCGTTTTCCTCTTTGGTAACGACCTTTCAAGCGTTGGGGGCTTCTGTGACAATGGTGCATTCTCTTGGTTGCCGAAACGATAAGCTTGTTTCGCGTTCCGATTTCCATTTTGTTTCCGCTTCTGTCGATGGGACTCATGCTTCTGACACAAGAGAGTGGGGGCTTTCTGTTACACCTTGTTCACAACTCGTAGGCCACCCCCCACACACCGAACGAGCAGGCGAGGGTGGCTTACGAGTTGTGAACAAGCTGTAACAGCGGAACCGCCACCCTCTGTACTACTAGCTCCGTTGTTTTTTCAATGACTTTGGGAAAGTGGAGCCAAATTAGAGATAGGTCTGAAGTTCTTGTACTCCTCCAGAGATCAAGTCAGCGACTTTTTGTGCCGGGCATGTGGGGCCAATAACAAAGGGTTACGTTTCAAAGAAATCACGTCGTGAACAATCTTTGTAAGAGTTGGAGGAAGAGAAGAAACACAAAAACTGACCGGGGATCGGATCAAACTCACAAGACTTATAGGAAAACAAGCACATTACCAACGCTATTGAATTGGATGAAACAGACGCAAAAGTTGTTAATTCACAGTCGCTGGTACCATCCCTGCCTAGGAATCCATAAGATGATGCATTGGGTTGAGTGGGTTGGGTAGATTAATTTCTATCAATGCTATTACGTATCACTTGTTCTTACCCTGTTTTGCATATGCTGTTTGAGTTAAGTTGCCTACTAATAGTAATGAATATTTTTCTACCATTGTACCATGCGCACAGCCATATCACCCCGGCAGTGGCAGCCATGTTGGGCAGCTGTTTCGTCCTTGTTAGGACTCACCAGCATGGCATAGCCAACACGGTCTTACCACAGGCAGCCCAAACTCACGTTACGAGGGAGGGGTGTAATTTACATACCATAGGTGACACGCCGGTGTCGCGTTACAGGCCACCGTTGAAAATTAAGAGACTTCGAATGAGAATTATATTACTGAGATCTGCGAACGCTAAGTAAAACTAAACCTTACTTGCTCTTAAATGAAATGAATAAAAAAAACTTACCTGCAATGTATTCCACTGCGTTTTGGTGTCTGTTTGTCGTTTTACTGTTTTTTTGGCTTTATTGCGTAACCACTGTTACTCAACGGTCGCCTGTAACGCGACACCGGCGCGTCACCTACGGTATGTAAATTACAATACACCCTTCCCTCGTAACGTGAGCAGTTCGGGAGTATGCCAGTTTTGGAAGAAGCGATGACGTCATTATTCCATTGTTCTGCTAAAAACACGCAAAAATAGGAAAAAATAATCGCAAGAAACAAGGGAGCTTTTTTCAAAGCCTGTTCCAGGTCTCCGCGTTCAATATCTGGGACTTCCCAGCTAGCAGTACCGATGAAGAAGCCTTCTCCTTGCTTTTTGAATGTCAAGGGAAGTTTCCTACCACATTTCGGTAGTTAAAAGCGACAGTTTTCAAATGGCCTTCGACGCCGCCGCCGCCATCTTGACGGGCATCGAATGTAAGTACATGACTTTATGTTTAGTTTTCAGTATCTTGCCGAATTTTTACGAAGTCAAGACTAATTTTCCTCAAAACTACAACGTTTAAAGTGTGTTCAGACAAAGTTTCATCGATGGCAACAACCTAGTAAAAATGGCAACCACACATTGAAAATTGCCAACGGACAGGAAGGGTTACTGGTATTGATGGTTATGCCTTAGTCTGTCTATGTAGTTTTAGTTATAATCGATCAGGTCTGTTTTTGGTCATGTTCAGCGGCAATGTATGCGACTCTCATCTAGAAATCACTTTATTGATCCAGATCATGTGTGTGGAATGAGTTATAAATCAGTGTGAGTAGGTTCTCATATTGATTTCTTTTATTTTGATCAGGATTTCCGTCAAAAATGTAGACAAACATCTGGAGATATTACAAACATGTTGTCGCGTTTGTGCCAAAAAGCTGGGAAAAGGAGCCAGGAAGACAAAATGCTAAATATCTTCAGAACGACATATTTGTGCTCTGAGGGCAAAATAATTCTTTAGCTTCGCCTTATGTTCCACTGTAATGAAAAATTTAATGTCCAAATTCAACCCTACCTCAATAAAATTAAATATGTTTTTTTTGTTTCTTTGTAGTGTGGTCACAGGCTTACCCACCACAAAAGCCCCTCCTTTGACCCTTTCAAAAATGGGTAAGAGGGAAACAAGTTGGAAGGGGGGGCTTATATACCTTGTGAGTGGAAGCTCACACTCAATGACCATTTAACCATAGAAGAGACTGTGGCCCTTATTCAAGGGGCTTTAAAGGAGATAGATGAGGAAGGAGTCATGGACGTGGAGGCTTGTGAAGATTTTCTCTACATAATGTTCAATCCCTCGCGTCAAATATTGTTTATACTTTACAGATGCCAAATACATAATATGTTCAGTCCCTGTGCTGTGCAAAAGGTCAATCTGAAACATGAAAAATGCCACACTCTCCCCCATCAATCCCTGTGCATGAGCAATAAGCCCACATTTGATGTCATAATATCGAATATGTGTATTTGAATAAATCCTAAATTATTGAGATTCTCTTGATGAAAAAGCATCTATGTTAATGCATCGTCTTCTACAAATCATCCTCCCTAATAAATAATACATGAGAGACATCTCACAAGATAACTATTGAAAATCGATGTCAGCTGCTACTGTCTTCATTATATCAATTAGGTGTTGGTTTTTGGTTTTCATGTCCAAGAAGGTGTTAAAAAAACAAGATTTTGCGATAAAAGAGGGTGTATAATATGCGAACCAGCGAGCCATGGCAGCAAGTCATGCAGGTCAGAATCAAAAACAGTAATATGGAAAGAATTAACTGACAGGACCTAAACTAAAATGTTTATTTACAAAAAACAAAATGTGACAATAAATAACTTTTATTGTACCTTTACTCTGATGTGTAAGCTTTGTTTTCTTGAAAGTGCTGTTCAATAGAAACATGAAGACCCGGCTATGAAAAAGAACTTTGGAAAACTTATGTTGTGTCCATGCCAAGTGCAGTAATCATTATTATTTTGGGCCAAACCTTGTCTAATAGAATTGTTTGAGGGTCCCCCCAGAGAAGACTTGGAGAAAAGTGCTCCTCAAAGTTACAATGCCTTTGGTTTAAAGGCAACCCCAGAGTTAAAAACAATAATTTAGTATTATTCGGATGTAACATCAAATCCCATACAAGAGGATAATTTATAACAAACCATAACCTTGTTGATCTCTGACCTCTGGTCAAATCTGGTGGACTACAAGGCTATAATATCCCATTTTAATCAATAGATCCAAAAGCATGTAACAAGCATAATTCTTAGTTTTCCAATATGTATATTAAATTCTTAAGAGCCTCTTGCATTTGTTAAGCTTGACCAAATAATCAGTGAACTTCAGAAAGTAGAATAATTGAAAGCAATAGGTTTTTTTGAAGCGGGACAAAAAAAAATGATCAGAGAAGATAAGTAAGATTTTAACTTTGTGGGTTTTCAAGAAGAAAACGCGGGCAAAATACCCTCAGAAATCCCTTGTAAACCTGTTGTATACCTGGACGGAACCGCGTCAAGACATAAACCAACAGAACATCATATTCGAAAAAGCAGATATTTTACTCACAAATGACTCGCTTGCACCAAAACAATAACCTGAATTACAGCCGTCTTCTCCGGCCGGTCGCTCACTCGCGGGAGAGAAACAGAAGCAACGGGAAAAATTACATTAACACTTACTGTGAAAGCAAACATAAGGAAATGAATTATAGAACAACTCACTTTTTAGTTGTTTCCAAAGCATTCTTTTTTCCTTATGATATAAAAAAATAATGAAATAAATAGGCACAAACTTGTTAGCGTGCTTACCTATTTGCGATGTACTGATTACATACACAGTGAGTACGCAGTGCCTACTAAGCGCGCGATAAGCGAAGAACTATAGCGCAAGAATGGTTACTCCCTGTCCTCAAGGTACTTCCCAATTCATAGTAACGAGACAAATAAAAAGGCAAATACAAGGCTCGATAAAACAAGAATAACCGAGAATTTTGGTCAATACTCTTTCATCTCCTCTCCCTTGTCCGCCATTTTGTATGTTTTGAAAATGACCATCGCCATGGTGATCATGTTATGGTTGGTGACGTAGCCATTGTTTTCGCTTCTTCCAAAACTGGCATACTCCCGAACTGGTGAGTTTGGGCGGCCTGTGGTATCACTTACGATCACAGACCCTGCCTGTTTACTGCCGATCAGGCGAGTGACAAGCACTGCTGTAAGCGCTAGCTCCACCGTACACTACACATGTGGTAGCTGTTGGCTGGGAACCGCAAGCAGTTCTCGGCAAGCGTATGGAGAAGGGATCAGCTTTTTACCGATCGGTGTGCCACAAACAAAATTTGATACAAGACCACAGTCCGCGCTTTATGTCTACCGGTTACTTCTCTAGTTTCTCAATAAACCGGTCCATAGTGTTTAACGCAAATCACGAATTTGTGGGAAAAAAACGTAAATAAATAAATAAACGCACACACCAGTCGGCGATTTTTATGGGAGATCAATAATTTGCCCGGGAAGCCCGAGAGCAACGCATCCTCGGAGACCCAGGGGCAGTTAGTCGGGTCGATAAAATGTTTGTGGTGAAAGTTTACTGTAAGATCGAACATTTTATCGACCCGACTAACTGCCCCTGGGTCTCCGAGGATGAGAGCAACGTGGAACGAGTCTGTAAATTCGAGGAGAACTGAGCACAACATAGCCCATCAGACGCTGCGCACTTTTTCAACATGGCGGTTGATGTGTGATTTGTGATAAATATCGAGAGGTTTAGTGAGTTTCAGCCAATTTACCAAGTTTTTTTTATAACGATAAAGAAAATTTCAGTTGATATTTTTGGAAAGCAGCCATGCAGGGGGGCACGAGTTCAAGTCAACAACAAGAAATGGAAGTGAAGCAGGTAATATTTGACATGGCCACTGACGACAGCAATTAAGACAGAGACTAGTTTTTCTTCTGCATGGACAAATTTTCAGGTCATCAGCTAAGAAAGGTTTCCACCTTACTGTTTTTCAGTTTCAAAATTTTCTGCAATACTACAACAAGTTAACAGAGTTATGCTTCACAGACTGTATCCATGACTTTACAAACAGGAAAATTTCCGCTAACGAGGTGAGCATGTTGGAATAGAAAAGGCTCAAAGCAAAAAACTGTCTTAACTTTTGATGATAATTACAGAGCAAATGGGGATGAGCTGAGCCACTGAGAGGGAAGATTTTACTTTCAAAATTATTAACAAGATTATTCGTTTTTTGTTATATGGAAATTACCGGTAGGTTAGAAAATGGAGTTTAAAGTTTGGAGAAATATGTGAGAGCAAGTTATGCAGGGAACAATGAATAGGCAACAAAAGTTGTTGTCAAATGAAGAATGATCCTCGCTTTTGTGAACGCAATTTATGCAATTGCATAAGAAGTCTGAAATAAATTCAGGACTTCAACAGGGTTTGAAGTCCCAAACCCCATTGAAGTCCTGAATTTTTTTCAGGCTTCTTATGCAATTGCAGAAATTGCATTCACAACCAGGGGTTTCATTCCAGGCCGGACGCTGGACGCAACGTCTGGTTGTTTAACATGTGACATCTGGTAGTTCACACACGAAATAATTGTTTTTGTAAGTTTGAAAATAGTTTTTTCCATTTTTCCAGCGGCGCGAACGGTGCATGTCGGCTAGCTGAACCACTTCATCTGGTACTTCCAAATGCTACCAAAAAACCCTGCACAACTGCGGGGATCATTCTTCATTCGGTTTCATTTCCACAGTTCTTCATGTGATCTATTTCATGTACAACTATCACAAAAATGTTGTATTTAGGTTACTGTACAATTCTTCTCCCCCAGAACAACTGCAGCATGCATTGTACTGAGAAGTTCTTGAAAGTCATGCAGAGAGTTGGAGTTCGAATACAGGAAGTACAAATGATGCAGAATGAAGGAATTTTTGGTGCTCCAGATCCACCAAAATAAAATTAATGAAACTACAACTGTGGTGTAATTCAAGCATGAGTTATAATTTAGAGGAATGACACCAAGATGGAACTACTGAAGAGTAGTCCAATTTCAAAGAATTAAAATTCATCTTCAAGTAAATATAGTTTAAAAGTAAAACCACGTTTATGTTCAAAGGAATAAATTCCTTATACTTTGCGGTTAATGACCCTTAAACAGCAAATATCTGTTGTTTTAAACTGAATATTAAGATAATTAAATTGGCTTTTTTAAAAAAATCAGGTTTGACAACAAACAAAACTTCCTGTGGAAACAGAAGCCTAATAAAGGGATTGAAAGTGATCAATTTTTGACAGTTTTCACATTACTCAGATTCTATTTTGGGCCATCCTTAGTGTAAGGATCTGTAACACTCATACGTGATGTAAAACAAAGAAAACAAACAAGTGATCAACATAACAAAGCCTAGCAAAATAATAGATATTGAACATCACAGGTTCCTACACCAAGGTAAACCCTCTTTTTTGAAGACAAAATTAATAGAAAGAGTGGTGTTTCCAGTATTAGTCCCAGTGTTCTCTATTCTTTTCTTATGGCACTTGTGAGGAGAATCTGTTTAAGAAATGCATATCATCAGCAAGGCTGTGCTCTAAGGAGAATATTGAAGGAACCCCGGTGCTGTGAACCTGTAAAATCTTGGGTGCCCAGCATAATCTTAAACTAAGATTTGCTAGTTGTCCAAGGACAAAAGTTAGGCATCAGAAGCCACCGGGCTCTGTTAGAGCACAGCCCTGATTAGTGACGTTACATGACTGTATACTGATCATGCCCCATGAGGTTCCTTTATCCTTGTGACCTTTATATATGTTCAGGCTGCAGTGGTGTCAGAAGGGGAAAATTTTCTGCAGCTGTTGGTCTCTAATGGGGCATCAAGGCATCACAGAGATGTGGGAGCTAGTTGTGATGAACAGGAAATTATATTGTATGTCAAAACAAAAATTATTTAAACTTTTTGCTCAATTTTTACTGACAAAGACATAACTGGAAAGCAATAAATAATATGTGATTCATGCTATGAGATAACAAATAAAGAATGTGAACATGAGAAGAGTATCATTTCTTTTTATTTGTTTGGTTATATGCATAAAAATTTTGAGTGGATAATATGTTTTATTATATTAAAAATGTACCTGTCATTATAATATATCTTTAAATAAAATAAAATTTTTTGATAATTTCTGATAAAAAACGATTAGTTAATTAGACAGTGCTTGGAATAATTTCATTTCTGACAAAAAATGATCAGTTAATTACACAGTGCTTGGGATCACCTGGCTACCAGCAAATTTAATGCCATCTAACTAAATTATTAGATAATAATACTTGTCGATCCCTCATGTGTAAACTAATATCACTGCATGCATGTTTACCTTTTAGTAAATAAAAATAATGCATATAACAATATTCACTGAATAATAATATTGATATCACTCAATTATTCATGTATCACTATCCAAAAATACAGTTTTTTAAGAGCCAGCTATTCATAGAGTTGCTGCTTTGAAAAATCCACATGACAGTGTCCCTCTCAAATCAGAAATTTACATAAGCATCCTGCACACGTATTTGAGCATCTACTGTAATTAGCAACATATAGTCTTTTGTACTAAATTTACATGTGAGCTTTCTATTTGCCCTCATCATTTCTTGTAGTGTGTTGCATGCCATCTACACACCACATTGCTATAAACATGAAGAACCCTATTAAACCTCAAAATAGGGTTACCCAGGGCAACATCTGGAATTTTTGCTTTGAGGCAGGGCATGTGAGTAAGTTTCATCTGTTAAGTACTGTTGTGAATATTCCACCATGTAACGTGAGTCTGTTTCTTGAGCACAGTCTTGATGTGATCTCGGAGTTTTACCTCTCACTGCTAAACAGTCCTGTAGCTCAGGTTTTTTACTTTCACCAGAGATACTCAAAATTGCTTGCACAAGAAGCCGCATTGCTTCATCTGCAATAAAATATCATTTAAATACTTCACCAATGGTCCTTTTTGCAAAGTGTTTGCATACCTGCACTTTTTTTTCCAGCAGAAATTAACAAACTGTCAGTTTTTGAACACACTATACTTACAACCAAGTTCAGCACCGAAGCACACACTTGTCATAGGTTAAAGTGCCCACCAGTACATTCTTGTTTTACTTAAACTTGATTTAATTAGTAAGCATCTCTATCAACAATATATTCCACTTACCAATGTTTCTGTCTTCTTTTGCAGACGTTGGTAACCTAAAAAAATGTAAAAATTTATTATTAATTACCACAAGTTATTATTGAATTGATTATCATAATTAATTGACTCACTTCCACTGTCCCCCTTCTTTATCTCATTGTTGTAACAAAATAGTGTATATGAAAAGAAACACTCTCCACACAAAAAAATGTACCCCTAAAAGAGGGCTACAAAGAATAATGCTTATGTCCACTCTCTTTAAGTGTAATGTTGGATGGCAAAAATGTATTGAATAACATTTTTAATTTTGTCACATACCAACCAATAAAACCATGTTCTTGGCAAAACTGATTTAATTGTTCCTCATCATAAGGATAATCTTCCAAGTCACACTACAAAATAATTTTGCATGAAATTATTTAAAGAATTATTACTTATATCATGGGTGACATATGACTCCTTGATTTTGGTGTGAAATTTCATTGTTAATTTATAATTGCCATAGCATTAGCAATGTTCCGTGTGTTTTGGAGCCAAGGTTTTAAAACGTTATTCATGAAAGAAGATGTCAGGACATTATTTGAAAAGATGCTGCAGAAAACCCAAACACTTGAAAGAGCACATCAAGAAGGTATTTTGTTTAAAAATTCTGAAAATATCAAACTTAAGCCAAAATTTAATCTCTAAACTTTTCAGTGTGGGAAGTTTTCGATTGATATGATAAACACGTTGATCAAAAACCAATAATAATGATTGGTTTTTGATCAACGTGTTTATCATATCATTGTAAAGCATAATTTGCCACCCTTGATATAAATAGGTAATGAAATGGTATACTGACTCCTAACATTAGCCTTAAGACACCATATCTCGACTCAACTGCCAATCAAAATCTAGACCTGCCCTGTAAATGCTGAAATTATAATGTACAATAGAATAGCAGGTATTCAGACACATACTTTGTTTGCTAGCAAGAGAACAGGAATTGGCTTCTCATTGGTCAGCATTACTTTTTGATTTACATCCCAATGCCACTGATAATAAAAAGAAAAGTTTCTGAATATTAATAAAGTAATCTTGAAGGTCAGTTGAAAACTGCAGCTAATTATATAGTAATATCTTTTTAGGGTGGGTCATAGCAGACAGATGCTTGTCATTCAGGAATAAATTAATTTCAATTCCCGTCTTCCAGCACTCATAATTTTGATGTGTTTGTTGAACTTCAAATTTCATGTTTTTAAACTCTTTTTTTAGGCAGCCTAGAATTAACAAAATGATCATAGGCAAAATAAAGCCAATTTTGGTTGTGCAAAAAAGGAAGGAAAAATGATGTTTTTTTCTTGACAGGTGCGGTGGATATTTACTGGTTCATTACTGAGCGCTTTACAAAATTCATGCACCAAGTTCCTGAATTTTTACAAAACAACGTCAACATAAAAAAAGTAAAAAAAGTGATAATGCCAATCACTGGGTGCTGAGATATTTTGTCTGTGAAACCATGCACGTACAGCAGCTAATAATGCTAGGCACACCATGGAATGCAAAAGAAACAACAACAAAAACTCCAACAGCTGCAGCTGGGTTTTATGTTTTCTGAGCTACAGGCATCTGCAGACCCTGAGAGTTTCCAAAACTTCTTCTGTTTGGGTATAGTATTGTTTGGGCAATTTGTTTTTCATGTACTTTGCAATGTCCTAGATAAAAACCTATCTAGTTCATCTCAGGCATCAGGCCAGGGCAAAGAGACTTGGCAACAACAAATGGGACTCTGGATGCCATTGCCTTCTTCTTTGTTTTGACAGCCTCTACCCAGTACATTCAAAAGTGATTTACAACATTACACAAGATGCTGTGATATGTTAAGGCAATAGACCCTTGTATATTAGAGCCACGACTTTGTATTTATATCCAATCAAACAATTTATTGAATCATACCTTGAGAACTGCTTCAAAAGTAGCTGGTCTGTATTAAATTGATATTAAGTAAAAATGAGGTTAAAACCATCGATTTAAAAGCAGTTTGCATGATTATTTACACTGTATTAAAGCTGCACACAAGCCTAAAGAATGCCTTAAATATGACTAGTTAATATTATTCTGTACTTTAAATGGGCCATTCCCTTTTTTTTCTGCTCTGCCTCTATTGAAGGGCTGGTTTTTTCTTGGGGGGGTAAATCTTATTCTTATCGGCTGCAACTTATATCTGAGGAAGCAAAGAATAAAATTTGGGGGATAAATAAAATCAAACCAAATGCCCCTCTCGCGTCGCGGACAATTTTTTTAAGATCCGAGACGCGACGGCTGTAAGACGCGACCGGAAGTAAGTTTTCATGTTGCCTCACGCGGTCGTCCTGGTGTCACCCCGTCGCGTAGGGGATGTAAAATCAGCACTCTAGGATCATTGGACCATGTAAAAAAAAATGTAAAGAGGATTCAGGGCAGCAGCGAAGGGACTGAGTTAAATCCAAGTGTATAGGTATATTCTCGTAGAGTTTAATTCGTAGGGTTTCTGAGGGGGGCAGGGAGGCGGGGTGCAAATATTACGGTTTTTTTTTTTTTCGAACAAAGCACAAACAAAGCATTTCTTGGGGGGGTATCTTCACCAAACCCTCTGGGGTGGCCATTTTGGAAAATGCTTCCAAGGGGGTATTCAAAAGACCACTCAATATGGAAGGGGTGCAGATAAAAAGTGGAATGGCCCAATAACTAACAGTAACCAATGCACTGCTTACCTTGATAGATCAAAAACTATGACTGCTGCAATTCTGTTGACAAAATATTGTTTTGCTTTGTTAATAACAATAATATATAATTTACTATTGTATTAAGGGAAATATATATATATATTTTTACATTATTTTGCTCCTTATTGTTTCACTCTATTATTTCACTATCAAAATGCCTATACCCTAAACTATCTAAAACTAAATGCCAGCTTATCCATAATGAGCTTAACATGCAGTTTTCAGTCCTTAATCCTGCCTTCTTCTCTTAATGAAACAGATGGTACTGCTTGCAGTCCCTTAGGATTGTTGCTTGCACGGCAGACAAAATTAATTAATACATGTGCAGTGATTTTGTTACCGATCTGTCTCCTGCGTCCCTGATGCATAAAAGTTCCCAAAGACGCAAAATAATCCATAACATGCATATGACACAAAGATCAATTGATCAATCTGAACATCTATTTGTAGAAATATTCTGTTTTGTAATTTCTGTGGCAGAAATTTGTGATTTTGTTATCTCTGGATCCTGCATCCCCGATGCATAAAAATCCCCAAAGACACAAAATAATTCATGGTATGCGTCCCATAGGACACAAAGATCAATAATTGATCAATCTTAACATCTGTATTTATAGAAATTAATCCTGTTCGCATAATTTCTGTGGCAGTAATCATGATGTATATTTCTTTTTGTACATTGTGCTTTAAAATAGAAGGACATCACTATTTTAATCAGTATACTATAATACAGAGTTTTGGACTCTGTCTTCAGATTAATTGTCTGCAAGGCCCACGCATTTTCAATGTGTTTTTTTTTATAACTGCTGGGACTCAATGGTTTTGGACTGGGACTCGTGATTTTTCACAAGATGAGTCTCAGGACTCACCATTAAGTTATTTATACCAAAATCACTGCATGTGAGTGATTTATTAATATAAGGAGGCAAATGGAGGGAGACAAACTAGGAAGTGAAGGAGTAATGGCTTGTTTGCTCTTTCTGGTCCTACCTTGATGCAGCGCTGTCACTAAGATTTAAAGTTGCCGAGTAAATACAACAAGTAGGCAGTGAATCAAACAGCTAGGGATTTCTTTTGGTTCTAATTTTCTTCTATTTTTCTATGTACAAAAGTAACCAGGGACCACCTTCTAGGTAGCCAGGGGAAATCCCTGGCCCCAGCCTCTTCATGACAGCCCTGCTTGATGACTCACTAAATGACAGAAAAGGGGCTCAGTTTGCAGTCTATTATTTGAATAATTAGAACATATTTTCAGTCCTTGAACAATTTCAATTGGCATTCAGTTTAAGATATCACCTAAGCAGTGAAAATAGCAAGGATTAATTCCACTGCCAATTTTAGTATTCACCTAGCTAGCTTACTCTGCAAATTAAATTCGTCTCTTTCAAAGAAAGTTTATAGCTTTACTTTTAGTAGACACACCTTGACGTGAAAGAAAGACAATACACTAGGCAACAAAAATGGCTAGTCAAGATAACTATAAAGGTAAAGGAGAAAAAAACAGCAAGAAAGAAAGAAGGAAATAGATTTGCTACAAAAAAGTCCAAATTTTGCCTTATGCACTAGCACCATGCATGGTGCATATACTTATTAAATCATGATCAGTTACTATTTTTAGTCAATTTCCTAAGCTAACTGACCTCAGAAAACAGCTGACATTTCGCGATGCCACCACTGGTTTGCCCGCAAAATGACATTAGAGGAACAAACACAGAAATTTAATACTGACGATCTGTCACTTAACCTAGATCTGGGGAATTTAATGTTTCTTATCAGTTGGGAAGCAAATTTTCCATGTGGCACAACCAATCAGAAGTACCACACTTGCTGCATTTTGTTTCATGGGGCCAATTGCGTTACATTCAATTATTATACATGTAACCTTGTTTTACTTATAAATAAAACTTTCATAATTTTATTGCACTTTTGATTCTAATTAAACAACTTCCATCACCACGTGTGATGGTATTTTTTAAGTATATATTTAAACAAGTTAAAAAATAAAACTGCAACAAATATGAATCACAACACCTACGCATATTTGTAGTATACTCTGGTCATGTGACCAAATCTTTCATGACCAGCAACATCCCTAAAAAAGAAAATAACCAATAACAATAGTAATAATAATAATAATAACAATAATAATAATAATTATTATTATTGGAAGTAGTAGTATGTTCTTGTCTCACACCTGAAGGTGGCCATGTTTTCTCAAAGCATCAAGCTATTCCCAGTAGCCTAGGTTTCTTAGGTCCTTCTTAGGATGTTAGCCATTGCGAACATCATCATCATCATTATTATTATTATTTATCCAGGGGGCCCACTTGCCTAAGTGGTTTTCAGTGGGGCCCTACAAATTAACAATTATAAATAAAAAGACGAATAAAATAAAATGCTAATCACCTACACCAGAAATTAAAATCGGTATAATACCTATAACTAATTTTAAAAATGACTTAAATCAACATTAATATTTATACAGTGCTAAGAAGAATAGACAGGACAGGAATGGGACTGACTGAAATCAAATTGGTGTGGTGTGTGCCTGAAATAACTCACACTAACAAAAATGTTAAAAGTGAAACCTATTTCACTCAGTAATAATAATTATTATTGTTGACATGCAAGGCTGACAACTTCAATTTACCAAAGCTGCAAGTTGATTTTCGTTTCTTCGTCCCAGTAAATAACTTTCAAAGCAAAATCAACTCCAATGGTAAGCTTATAGTTTGGTGAAAAGTAACCTGAAACCAAAAAAGAACACATAACTGAAGTTTATATCAAATACAATTTAAATAAGCCGGGGAGGTGGAAGGGGGGGGGCTGCTCTGGTGGTCCGGTTTTACTCCCAGAACAAAAACTTTTTATTGCAGAATCAAGCCTAATATAAAGTTATGAGATTCGGAAGACAATAAATCAATCAAAATTAATAGCCCTGATCGAGTGCAGGGATTTCGCGCAGAAGGTGAAATGGGTTAGTATATGAGTAGGTTGATTTTGTCACACTTGTTATACAGTCATACACAATATACTTCGATACTCTTTTGTGTAAAAGGTTTGAACCCAGGAGTCAGTGACTCTGAAGATGACTACCGCACAGGTTGTCAAAACATCAGTCACTGTCAACAACAACAGTCCTATTCAGGACTACGTTCACCCGGACGATCAAACTCAACCTACTTTTGATACTCTTTTGTGTTAACATGTGTTCAGTGACAGTGAACAGATGTCCTTCTATAATAGTCTTAATAAAATGTCTAGAACATGCGAGCGCGTGGATTGATCAAACCTTTTAATTTCTAAAAAGGCTAATACTGTCCAGCTAATAAAATGAACTGTATGTTAAAAGTGCAAGAGAATATATATTTCAAAGAGCTACACAACGACCAAGAATACCTTTGACTGACAATTACCAAACAGATCAAGCGGCGCCAGCTGTAGTGCAGAAATTTCATACTCATGACACGTCACTACCCAGATCTGGGTATGTAGTGATTCTGATTGGCTGAAGTAAATTTACTGCCACCCAGTGTATCAATTAAGGACTCGATTCATTTTCATGATGTACATTGGTCTTCAATGCTTACCAGTGAAAATAGATTTTTATGCATTTAAGGCACATCATGCATGAGAAGTTGGACGTTTGAAATGAAGTTGCTCCACTGTCAGTCAAAATTCTCTTGTGGCTACTCGATCTTAATTCATGGGTTGACCCAAATTAGATATGTTGGAATTTATTGATTCAAAATATTATTATGATGAGCTAGCCCTCTTCATGTATTTAATAATATTATTGAAAGGTTTAGGTTCGGTACATGAAAAGTTTGACGCTTGAACTGGGCCTAAGGAGAAAGTGCTGCCTATGTAAAAACATCTACAAACGGTTAAAAAATGATACGATAAACCGTAGGCCGCGTCTTACAACTCTTGCACATATATCTTCTGTGGGATGTTAAAGAACCCATGTCTTGTTGGTAAAGAGTAGGGGATCCCTGATGACTGTGGTGATCTCTCTCATTGCATGGGCTGGGGAGGGACTGTTACGGGCCCGCAGTATGCTATGGGTGCCACACACTGTTGCAGTGACCCTGCAAAGAATTGGCAAACTTAAGAAGAAAAACATGAATTTCCCTTGTGGCATGACCAATCAGAGGTACCACCCAGATCTGGGTAGTGAAACATCATCAGTACTGAATTTATGCGGTTGTTCCTCAGACGTCATTTTGAGTGGAAACCAGTGGTGACGTAGCAAAATGCTGGCTGTTTTCTCAGGCTACACAGGACAACAGAGAGACAGGAAAACAAGCGGGGGTGGGGGGTACCCTGAATTTCAAGTGACGGGAATAATTGAATGGTCCGGGCAAAAGTCAAAAATCCAAAAAAACTCATTAAGGCCTTCTAATATGCAACCCCCCAAAAATCCCTAGGCCACAAATTTCATTATCATCAGGGTTTGTATTCACTCTTGAAAGAGGAACCCCTCTCTGAATTGATTCCACTGAGGTGTCTGTGCTTGGCTAATCTTAACCATACAGGTCCAGACTGTCTGGTGAGATTTTCTCTCCATCTTGTGTTTGGACTACCCCGTTTTCTGGTCCAAACTCTTGGGGTCCACTCTGTTACCTACTAGCCTGCATAACAAATGCTTTATGAGCCAAGCAATGTGAACGTGACATTTTGCGTGAAGCGCGAGACAAGGGGAGGATAAAAATAGAGCGTCTGTTACCAGTCCATTGTTCTGGCTCTTTCCACGATCACTACATGAACATCCCCTTCCAATTGGTTAACTGATGATGCATTGTAACGTTCTG